CTACCTTGAATTTTTTCGTCAGTATTGTTATAACGTTTTATTTCAGTTTTAGGCAAATATCTTTCCTTCTCAATATTATGTTATCAGAGAATCGACATTTTGCTTTGCTCACTTTTTTACTTAACCAAAATATTGTGATATGAAAAAACATTAAAATTATTATTTTACTTTTGTCACTTGTTTTTATTTGTTTTTTGTTTTTTCGAAAAACTTGAGAAAATAAAACCCAAACCTAAATGTTCGGTCCCTTCCAAGCCAGAGACCATGCAATAATGTTTTTAACTGGAAACCGTGACGGGAAATATTTAAATTTGTAAAAAATAAAAAATTTAGTCAATTGTAAACTTGTTTCATAAAAGCCTCATTTTTTTCAGTTACTAATTTGTGAAAAAAAAACAATAAAAATTTAAAATATTATAAATTACTTATTATCATTAATCTTGCAATAATAATGAAATTGAATAATTTCTACAACAGTTTACTTTAACTTTCAATGTACTTGTTTAATTTTTTGAGTTATTTTTTTAAACAAAATGACATGCTTTTAAAAAATCGTTTTTATTAGATGTTCATTTATCATCATATTCTTTTCAAATGTGACTACATTGGCTTAATTGATTTAAAATCGCAACTCATAGCTAACTAATTATTAACTGATCAAACTTTTTATTATTTAGAACAGATAAAGTGTATTTTGATTTGTGCACACTTAAGTTTACCTGCATAATATTTATATTTTGATAACATTTTAATTGTTTTGCTAATTACTAATTATGCTTTTTTTTATTTTTTAATTTCTTAGATGTTTAATACTAAATTGATTATATAAGTTAATAATATCACATTGTTTCGTTAATCCTTTATCGATACACGTTTTAATATTTTGTTCTTTAGACTTTGTTAAGTCGAGACTTTTATTTATATTAGTTTTTACAAGTAATATATTTCTAAAGATATTTATTTGATTTTCAAAAAATACACCTTTTGATAATTATAATCAATTTGTACTTTAATTGGGAATCAAATAATTGATTTTGTCAAAGTTTATCTAGTTATCTAATTTATATCAACACATTTATCTTTAAAATGAATAAAACGATACAACTTTTTAGTTCAAAAAATGGTTGAAAATCGATGTAATTTTTAAGTAAGTCACACTAACTATAATCGTTTACAGACTGACATTTTATAATATCATGAAGACTTGAAACGTTAACTTATTATTTTTTCTTCAAATTTGATCATTTTATTATTTGTTATTAATTAAAATATCAAGTTACAAATCAACCAAATTTAGATGATCAACATATTTATTTAATATTAACAATTATTCGAATTACTTTATTAAATTAAACTGAATTGCGTTAATTATATCCAAAATGTATTTCAATAAAATTGTTGAAATACATTTTACTCTGAATTTTGATGATAATATAAATGTAAAATGATTGTTTTCATTCTTTTAGTGTTAAAAATTTTTTTTTGTTTCTGAAAATAGGAAAAACAATTACGATTTTATGGATAAAAAAATAACAGCGAGATATAATTGATTTCAAAATAAAAGAAGAGGTCACACATTTTTTTGTTTAAATTTAACATTAGAAATTAATATTTTTCATAAAACCACACCATATAAAATTATATAAATTTTAAATATCTTAGGTAAAATTTGCATTTTTTACCTCTTATTGAGGGCAGTGACGAATTAATGAAAAGAGTTAACAATGAATACATATAATATAAACTTTTATAAAACAGAATTTTATTAAATAGACAAAAGATTTACAAATTTTAGACCGCTTAAATTATGTCCAATGTTATTTAAGGTGTTAAACTTCGAGAGTTAAAAATAATTCAACAACTGTGCCTTGATATCTTTAACTTTTTCATTAAAATTTCTCAATCACCACAACATATAAAATAGTTTTTTTAAATGTCAACATAAATAAAATTTGCTGAAAAATAATATTTATTGAATACCTATTAATTATCATAAAACTTGTAATTAAGTACTTGTTCACTTCTTCGCGTAAAAGAGTACTTGATTATCTGCACTACCTTTTGAATACAAGTTTATCCACCAATTAGAAAAACATATCAATGCTCCCTTTGTTTAGTTTGGCGTTTTCAAGCACTTTATCGACTGATGCTATTATAGACTTTAAGAGGTCGATGTTTAGTTTTTCAAAACGCGCTCTTGTAATTGATGTGTAGAAGTCTATGTTTTCATACATATATTACAACTAATATACTTTAATGTTTGCTGTTGCTACAGATGATAGTGTTCGCTTTGCCCTTTTACGTGATGTTCTTTGTCTTTTGACTTCTCGTGCATTACTCGATTTATCTTTTTGTACTTTCTCTTGAACTCAGTAATGAAGTGGTTGACCATTCTGTTATCAAAGTCTTTAATACCAATGTGTGTGTTGCCGTCTGTTGCCTCAACTTCAAAGATACCATAATCAATAGCAATAAGTGACATATCAAATGTTCCAAATTCAAAATCAAAGATCAAGTTCTTTTCTCTCTCTGTTTTCTTGTCTTGTCCATATGCTATTGCTGCTGTTGGCTCAATAATGATTCCGAGCACATTGATGCCTGCAATAGTGCCCGCGTTCTTTGTTGCCTGTCGCTGTGAGTCATTGAAATAAACCGGAAATGTGATGACTGCGTTGTTGACTTTCTTACCAACAAACGCCTCTGCTGTATTATTATACTTATTCAGCACCATCAAAATGATCTTATCTAGTGTTAATTTCTTGATATCTTTTTTTGTACTACATTTTTATTTAAGGTTTATTGTTGTTGTCGTTGACGACAATGAATGATCGGTGCTATATATTTTCTTGTATTGTTGGATCACTGAATCTTTTTCGAATCAATTATTTTGCATCAAATACTTTATTCTTAACATTAATGCTATATGGTGCTTAGTTGCATCATCAATCAGCTATTCAATTTATTGTTATGTAAAGTGAAACATACAATGGTATTGTTCTATTTTCTTGAACTTTTGCGATTTCTTAAAAATGCATTTTGCATGCTTTTTAATTATAAAGTTTGAAAAGGACAAAATATCTTATCCACAACAGTTTATTATTTTTATTTTAATAAGACTAAGTGTCAATCATTTTACTACCAAGAAAAAAAATTTTAAATAAAAACATGCATTGAGCTCTTGTGCTGTTTTTGTGTTCAAACTTTGTACCACCTCAAAAGAAAGCACAAGCATTTCCAAATATCTATAAAAAATTGACAAGTGTATATCCTGATGGTGATAATCACAACAAAAAAGCACACGAAAATGTCACACAACCGCCATTCTTTTTTTAAACAAAAACTAGTTTAATTTTATAAAATTTTAAATGTTTTGTTATAATATGTTGTTTTTTTATAGAGACCAACCCTACACGAAGGAGACACCACAAAATGTGAGTCGTCGAAAGTAGCTATCGATGCCTCCAATAAGCGAGATCTCCCACCGGAAGTTATACCGGTGGCTGGATAGGTACTGGTAAACCCTAAAGGCACTATACTAGGAAGAGTAAGTCGAGCCTTGTCATATCACATCTTCCTGTTTCAGCAAGTCATAACTCTGTGTTTCCAAAGGCTTTGAAGGAAACTCTCTGAACTTAGAGAGTCAGATTGTCTCTCCATTCGATCCTCAAACAGATTCTTGCCATTTTGAATAGCACAGGACCGCTATTTAATATTTGTTTGGATAAAACCTGGTAATACCAGGGGCAAAGAAGTGGGTTATAAAAGATGAAATATCGGCGCTATGTAAACTCTTTAAATGTTATAAGAGTAAAACATAATTGATTTCTTCTAGTGTTAAAATATGTTGTTTTTTGAATAGTTTTGTTATTTTTGAACATTATCAACAAGAACTTATAATGTACACCTTTTAAGTGTTGATTCAGTTGATATTTACAATTAACACAATTAAAATTATTAGCATTTATCATAAAATTTAAATATAATGAAACAATTTTAAAATATTATGTAAGGGGACTTAGCACAACGGTAGTGCATTATCAGCTAATATCTCGATTTCTAGATAAAAGATGTTGGGTTTGACTCCCATAGTCTCCATTTTTATTTTTTTAAATTGGTAAAATATTTAATAAATATAAATTAACAATTAATAACGATATGTATTAAAAGTATTAACTAAATAATCAGTATTAACTTAACACACCCATTAATTAAAAAAATAAAATAAATACATTATCGATTTTTGAATTCTAGTTTATATACAACTATATTATATATACAATCTGATAACGTTAATTTTTTAATTGTAAAATATAATTAAACCCCAAATTGTTATTTTGAACTTTTTAAAAACAACATGTTTACACCAAATGTCCCAATTGAGATGAAAAAACTATATGGGATGAAAGGCTAACTGAAGTACTCGACAAAAGCAGAAGATTATTTTGTTGTAAAGTTTGTGGGTATTTCCCAAACAAAAATGATGCTTCCGAACATTACTTGACACATCATGAATGTCAAAATGTGGAAATTAGAAAAATAGTTGAAAATGCATACAATGCAGGTCAAAAAGCCGGTCACTACAAATCGTTCAGAATTGTAACACCACAACCACACTAAAAAAAGTTGTGATAAAAGTTTAGTTGATGGAGGAAGAAAACTCACAAATGAATTGGCAATGTTGTTTGTTGCCAATAACATAGAATCAAAATATCACGTGTTAAAAGATATTATATCTATGTGTGCTGACTCGGTTAAGCAGTATGGATTTGAAGTACTTGAAAAGGTACTTTCAAGTCATCAAACATTAACAAAAAAAGTAAGCGAATTCTCAAATAGTTGTATTATTATTTAAAAATTATAATTATTAAATAAATTTTTAATAAATAAAAAATTGTGTTGTTATTTACGTTTTATATTAAAGGCTACCTTGAAGATCCATCAAGATGCTTGGGCTGACAATAATTATTTAAAGTCAAAAACATACGTAAAGAAATTAAGAAATGGTAACAAAAAGTTTGATATGCGTGTCAAATAATTATAAATATAAAAAATAATTAATCATTTATTTTTTATGTTAAAAAAAGTGATTACAAAAAAAATTATTTGGTAAACAATAAAAAATAGTATTTTTTTAAAATATTCATATTTAAACAATTGTATTTCAATTTAAAAATGTAGTTTTTGATATTCACACATACAGTTACCAATATGACAAGACATGGAATGATAAATAATAATTTACAATCATGTTCAAATGTATAATTTTTGGTGTAAACATAAACCAAAAATAATAATTGTTTTTGACATATTTTTGATTTATAAATATATCTTTTATATTCAAAACGGGTGTGACTATTTTAATTGTGTAACTACATTAAAAACAATTATTTTTTAATAACTCACTGTTGATAATGACATGTAAATAATGTTATTAAATTTATATTATGTTTTTAATTTATTCTGTCTGATTACACACATAAATAGCACCAATTTAAAAATAACATCACATCTGTCATTGAATAGTGAAATAATAACATGATTATACAGTTTCTTTTAATGATTGTATTTTGATTATTAATATAACATGATTCACTTTTATACTCTATACGCCCATTGTAAAAACGGATAAAATTATTAAATGTGTATACTTTTTGAGTGTGTAAACATTTAATTTCAAACTAAACAAATACATAAATATTATATAATGAAAAGAATGTAAATAAATATTTTTAACTGTTTGTTGTTCACAACCCATTTGTACATGTTACTTTCAAATAAAATATATTTACTGGTTAATATAACTGACAACCAAGTGAAGTTTATTTTGATAAATAATCAAATATACATGTGAACAAATTAAAAATGATGATAATAAACCAATTTGTTTTTTCAATTACATTGGTGTTGTCACTTAGATACGATTAAATATATTTTATAAATTTAATAAAAATATTTTACTATATTAATACAATTCATTTTGAAAGCTATTGAATTATTTTTTAATGTTTGTGTATTACTTAGATTATATGTGCATTGTATTATAAATCAAAAAAGACAAATATTTATGTTTTAATGCAATTTTATGTATGATCTAGAGAAATAACTGTTATTATAGATAAATATGTATGAATTGAATTTTAAAATAATCATGAAAGTGTATTCATTTTTGTTGAAACAACTAAATTAATGTACCACAACAAAGAACTGAAATCATTTTTTTATTTTTGTATCGTCTGCTTTTGCTTTTTGAAGATAAAATATTTATTTTTTATATTTTATGTATATATGTGAAAGAGAAGCAAATTAAAAACAAAAGAGTTCTAAACTGTGTTATTCTTTTGATTTCGGTGTAATGATTTTAAGTTCGGGTTTGATGTTACACGTTTTCACACTAAAAATTTATCACGTTTTATTTTGACATTTTATAAAAATGAAAATGTTGTGATTAACAGTGAGACCTGATATATGATCTATTGTTATTAAATTATTGAAATTAATAATCAATACATGTTTTTATTATATACAATAATAAATGTTGTGGTGTTACTAAGGCATATACGTTTAATTATGTTTTTATATGAATAACAAGAAAACGATAGTTAGAAAAGAATTATAGTATATAACAACTCTCTTATATGTAATTATCAACAAAAAATTGTTGAACGAAAATTGTGCACATTGACGTAGTTACACAATGAAATTGATGATAATCGTTTATTTTTGTTTTAATGTATATCATAGTCATTACACAAAAGTTATTATTTACAGTCAATCAATTCAATGTAATAAACAACTATAATTTAAGTGGAAATTTGATTTGAGAATTACCTTTGTATCAACACTGTTGTATTTTTGATTTTTTGTTTATTTGAACGTTTGATTGCTTAGATAATTTCGTTATGAAAATTGATAAAACAATCTGTTAAGGTTAATGATGATTATATATAATTAATTCAACAATGTGTAAATTCAGAAATAAAATTGTGAAATTTTAAAAAATATTTTTTTTTGTTATTTGGTAAAAAGGAAAGTAAAATGCCGATTTACAAAAAAATAATTAATTCGACCCAAAAGATCTTAGGATTACTTGGGTCGTGACAATCTTGAAGGTCGCCTTAAATTGATTACAATTAAGTGGTTTTTGATTGTAAAAAAGGATTTAAAAACAGTTGAAGTTTTTTTTACCTAAAAGCAAAAATTGTCCTGGAATAATTAATTGTTTAAAGTAAAAAATAAAAATTACATTCTATAGACACGTGTCATTTTTTGTTGATGTGGTGAAACGTGGTGGCTGGTTTTTTGAAAAAGGAGGACCCTGTTAAATTATTCATTATCGAAATAGGAGTCAAATTGTTTGTTTTTAGCTAAAATATTTAAAGCAACTTTGAATTATACAGATGTGGTACTCAAGTGTAGGCAAGTACTGTAGCTTCGATTTACTATTTAAATAATATTTAGATAATATTAAACAATTTTCTTCATTTATTTTTTTGATAATAGTTCAAATTTGACTTTTTAGATTTAGTTTTTATAATGCTATATAAATTAATAATCTTTGTCGAAACCATGGTTTTGGTCTTAATTTTAGTACGATCATCCCTAAATATTATTTGTAATAATAAAGTTGAATATACCATCCAGTTTAATAAAGTGATTAAAATTGTGATGTAAAAAATAATGTACTTTGTATGGTTTGGTCAAATTTTTTAGACAAGGTATATATTGTTTTCAAAAATGGGTATTTTTAGCCAAAACCCGCTTATGGTAAACATTATTTTTAGTTTTAATCTAAAAAATTATTGTTTCTAAGAAAACTACTTTTAAATAGTTTTTTTTGTAAAGTTTTACTATAATTTTTTTTTCAAACCTTTATTTCTACAAAATATGCGATGATTATGAAACAAACAAGAATTAATTAACATTATAATAGAATTAATAAACAAAACAAAAAAATAATATGTAAATTGAAACAATTTAAAAAATATATTTATTGAAACAAATTTAAAAATTACTCTTATAACTAATTGCATTCAATTTTAGTTTCAATAATTTAGTTATTGTCAAATAAACATAAATCTTAAAATGTGGTTAATTAATATAAAAAACAATTGAAATTGTTAATTATTGTATTAATTAAATAATTATGTTTAATGATATATTAAAATGGAAACATAATCATAACTATAAAATTTCAAAACATGAAACTATGTAAATAATTTGATTTTTTAATCAAAAAAATAATCATGTAATGAAACTGTTCCATTTTATGTGAAAAATTTAAACACCAAACAAATTAGATAAAAAGTTGTATTTAATAACTGGGCTCAATATTGTTTATTACATTAATTATCACAAAGAAGTTTCAAGAAAAACATGTTATATTAATGATTAGAATCATGTTCTGTTTTTGTATTTTTAAAATTACAAAAAAATAAAAATAATGGAAACTTAAGCTAATCAACAACAATATCATTTGATTCATATTGTTGCAAAAAATTGTTTCCATTTACAAAAAAAAATAAAACTGAATTATACAAATGCTTATATCCTTATTAGTGATAATTTTGGCAAATGCAGATCCATTTTTAAAAGTGGGAGAAATAGAACCAAGATCAAAACATCCCAACTGTAAAAAGGTTGATAGAAAATTTGATAACAGTGGAAATCCCACTGATACAATCAATTGTATTGAGTGTGAAAATAATTATTTCAAACTTGAAAACGGAGAATGTGTCTATAATCCAACGAATTGTAATGTTACTGACCCCTATGTTTATTTAAATGATAAAGAATGTAAGTTTTGTGATTATGGATGTAACACTTGTGATCAATCAGGTGAATGTACTTGTGATTTCAACAGTTCTTTCGACACATGCAAACAATGTGTAAGTACCTACGATTTAAAAAGTGGATCAGTAAAAACAACAAAATGTAAGTACTGCGGACAAGGTCTTGCAACAAACGTAAATATGGATGGATGTGTAGATGCTGATAGTGGAACAGAAGTTTTTGATAAAACAAATTGTGCTCTTTCTGGATTAAAAGAAGGCAAACAAGTATGTTTGAAATGCTTTGGAAATAAGACTATGGACACTCAAAAACTTCACTGCCAAACAGAACTCAAGGTAATAGAAGGGTGTATTCGACAGAATGGGGAAAACTGCTTAAAGTGTGATGTTGGTTATATTCTATCTTATAAAGCCTGCAAAAAGACCGACGAGAACTGTAATATACTCAAAGAAACGTCGAGTGATGTTATTTGCAAATCTTGTAGAGAAGGATATTATATAAATGATAAAGGAACTTGTACAATGTGCGAAGTAAACGGAGATATAAACAAACAGTACGACAGCTTGTGCGAATTGTATGATACCACCAAATGTACTCAATGTAATAAAAGATGTAAAGTTGATAGAGGAAATTGTGTTTCCAATCATTGTGTCGAATTTAAATCAGATGGAAAATGTGGTATCTGTGAAGATGGATATTATGCTCTTAATGGTGAATGCAATCTATTTTCAAATGATGGGTTAGATACCTCTTCGGGAAAACCAACGTGCAAGACTGGGTATTATCTTGATTATAATATTGAAACAAAAATTTATTCTTGCAAAAAATGCAAAGGACATTTTATGGAATGTTTAACAGCAGATACGCCAATGCCTGGAAGTTCCTTGTATGACAACTGGAAGGCGACAAAAGCAGAACCGTGTGATGATGAAAATTGTGCTCAATGTGCCGATGATGGTGTGACTTGTTACAAATGCGCTTTCAATAATGGCAACCCTAATGGTGTTTTATTAAATGGAAAATGCATATTAACTCCAACTGACATTATACTGGAAATTGTCGATAATTATGACACAACTTATAAATTCTGTAAGTACAAAGGAGTAAATTCTTTCTTTGAAGAGTTGGTACCAGCATATAATGAGACTACCAATCCTGAAAGTAAATGCAATCCATTATTGAGAAGAAGTTACATGTACAAAACACAAACAAAAGAAAATTCAAATTACGAATGTGCGAAAAATAATAGAGATGTGATCAAAAACTGTATGTGTAAAAATGGATATTATCAAAAGAATGCGTCAACAGTGACCGATTGTGAAAAGATAAATTCTCTTGAAGGATGTATTGAGAGTGCCAATGGTAAACATTGCACACTCTGCGCAACTGGAGCAAAATACACATCAGAAGGGAAATGTGTGTGTCCAACGGGAACTTATTTAAAAGATGAAAAATGTGAAAAGTGCCCCGAAAAATGTGCAACTTGTGTTTGGGAAACTGGTCAAACAAAAGTGACTTGTAAGACGTGTCAACCAGAACAATATAATGGACAGGGAAGAGATCCAACAAATCAATGTGAATGTAACGTTGGCTATGTGACTGAACCGGGGAAGATTGATGTCTGTGTACAAAAAATTGAAGGTTGTTCAACAGATGGTAAATATGTTGTCCAAAACAAACAAATTAATTGCTTGGCATGTGATAAAGAACACATGGCAATTGGATTTGGTACAACACAATGCTCGCAATGTGTTGATGGATATTACATGGATGACAAAAAAGTGTGTCAAATGTGCAACAACGGAATTGGGTGTTTAACATGTAGTGCAACTGCTTGCACTCAATGTAAAGATGGTAATGCTGTTTTAAATGGACCAGCTTCAGAACCGACAAAGTATTGCACAATTTGTAAAGATGGCTTCACATTCAATTCAACTGATGGAACATGTGCAAGATGTCCGAGTGTTTGCAATGGTTGTGAAATTAAAGATGGAAATATTGAATGTAAAGAATGTAAGAACAAAAGAAACCCACCAAAATGTGAATGTGATCAGGGTGTCTATCTTGATCCAAATACCAATACATGTGTTGCTTGCCCCAACGATTTGATTGTTTGCAAAAAGGAATGTGACTATGGCAACGGCATTTACGTCCATTGTACCGAGTGTGTTGATGAATTAAGAGAACCAACAACAAATTGTACCACATGTAAAGACACTAACATGTTTTTAGACTCCGAAGGCAATTGTGAACAATGCGCTGAAAATTGCAATGTTTGCACTGATAAAGAGCATTGCACCGTTTGTGATCCAAAAACTTTTAGAACTGGTTTTACATGTGAAAAGTGTGTCAAAGGGTATTACTTGGACATTGATAAATGTAAACAATGTGACAGTAAATGTGAGAATTGTACAAGTGCAACGGACTGTGAAAAGTGCATTGATGTAAACCGCAAGCCGGTTCCAGGGAAGATGTGCGAAGGATGCAATGATGGGTATTATTTGAGTGGAGAAAGTTGTTTGATGTGTTCGAAGAATTGCAAAGTATGTGAAGACCAAACGAAGTGCGTTAAATGTGCTGTTGAAAATTTCTTTGAAGAAACTCCTGTTGATGGAACATGTGTGTGCATTGAAGGTTATGTCTACGACACAAAAACTCAGACTTGCGATCCATGCAAAGACAAATTGAATGAATTTTGTTCTTCGTGTAGTTCAGAAAAATGCTCTGTGTGTAATGCAGAGTATTTTGAAGCTAAGGGAGGTAAATGTGTTTGCAAAGAAGGGTATTACACGACATCATGGGGAGCTTGTGTGCCGTGCGACAGACATATTAGTGGATGTGTACTTTGTGATGGAAAAGATTCTTGCAGTAAATGCAAAAATGGGTATACACTTAATAAAACTTCAGGAAAGTGTAATGGAGCAATGAAGATAGTTATTATGATGGTGGCTATTGTTCTTGCACTTTTGTTCTAAAAAACGGGTTTTCTATTTTAATGTTATTATAACAAGATAATTTTATGAATTGTAATGAATTTTTATTGTTTAAATATATTTTTTTGTAATTTTAATACTAAATTATCATGATTTATAACACTTTAAAAAACAATTAATCATTATTGATAATTAAATATATAAAACTTTATCATCAATGTTTAGTATAGCATAATTGTTTAATATATTTAATTTTCGCTGAACAAAGGTTGTTATTGTTTATTTAAATATGTTTTCAATTAAATTAGAATAACAACAATTGGGTAAAAAAAATATTATTAAATAAATAATGTAATATATATAACGTAAAATCAATTATAATTATATTAACTTTACATTAATTTACTTTGAAAATTTAAAAATCCAAATTTTCTAATATCGACTTTTAAATAACAATTGAATTATAAGTTTAATTTACAACAACATTTAAAAAATATTATATAGTTATTAACTCGTTGACAACCCAATACTGCTTTTTTGACAGTTTTTTTAAAAATTTGTCGATTATGATAGCAATAAAAAGATGATTTTTAATTGTTTATTAATTATTTTAAAAATTTAAAATCTTTTTTAATTAAAGACAAAAAATAAAAAAGTTTCCCATTTATTATCTTTAGTTAGTCTAATAACATAATCTGTTCAGAAAAGTTATCTGATCGAAATTTAATGGTGTTTTTTGTAGAAAATGAAAATTGGGTATAAACACACAAAAATTGTAAAAAACTACAACTATGATATGTTTTTAGAATGGTTTCCCGTATTTATTCACTTGATTTGATCCAAAAGGTACCATATAACATTTCCGAGCAGATAACATTGTTAAACCGAGTAAATAATTTGAAAAAAACGAAAATTTGTACAAATATAGAAATTTGTTGTTTTTGTTTTATTAGAAATAAAAGTTTTATAATAACAAATTTATTTATTATTTGAATATCTGAACTTTATAAAAATAACAAAATAGTGGCTTAGACAGAATTTTACAACAAACTCAATTCCATTTTTGTATTATTAAAACGGGAATACCCAATTCAAATAGTTTTTTAAAACTATATAATTCAAATATGATAAACCGAAAAATAAAGTTGCTTTTCAATGGTAATGGTGCTGTTGGTAAAACAAGTCTTCTGATTAAGTACACAACTGGTGATTTTCCTTGTGAATATGTACCCACTGTAATGGAATACTGTAAAATGAATGTGACTTACAAAGACATTAAATTTGATATGGAATTGTGGGATACCGGCGGAGGAGAGGATTACCCTCGTTTGAGACCGTTGAGCTATCCAAATACGACATGTTTTGTTCTATGTTTCTCACTTGTTAATTTGAACTCTTTTAATAGTCTCAAAACAACTTGGTTGCCAGAAATCAGACACTTTGACCAAGACATTCCAATATTGCTTGTTGGTCTTAAAAGTGATTTGATAGAATCAAATGAAAAAATTGAAAGTTGTTATTCTAGATATATATATCAAAAAATAACAACAAAAAAATGTCTTCAAATGGCGAAAGATATAGGAGCAAACGGCTACATTGAATGTTCTTCTTTTAATAATAGTAATGTTGATGTGGTTATTAAAAAAGCCATACAGTTAAGTTATGAGTATCTTCGTACTTATAAAACATTCAAAAAATAATTGATTTGTGTGTTTAATTCAATTAGTTATTTTGTTTATTATTATTTTAAATATGTTATACAGTAAAAACTATTAAGAACAGTATTTGTGAAGACTGGGAATATTTTAGATTTAAACTAAAATAGGATTTCTCTATAGAGCGGCAATTAATGTTAGATTGGCTGAAAATGACCACTCTTGAAAGAACAAATATTACCACAATTTTTACTTTTAAGAGCTTTTACTAATAAAGTTATAAATTAATTTTAAAAAATAAAAATAAAATTGACATTGAAATATGATGTGTTTTTGATAAAAAAATTTAGTAATGTAAAATCAATAAAATTTTATTTATTCCAAACAAAAGATTAGAAATAAACTAATGTTAAAAATTATAAAATAATATATTAAAAAAATATAATTATAAATCATTTTGATTTTTGGATTTTTCAAATCGAATTTAAAAAATTTAATTCTTAAATTCGATCTAAAAATTTAAATTCTTAAAATTAAATTGAAATTTGGAAATAATTAATTGATTATTTCCAAATTTATAGTAATATATTTGAAATAAAAATGTTTTATTTTGTTAAGGGAAAAATATATATATTTATATAAAAAATTAAATTAAAAATAAGTAATTTTTAAAAATTTTATCAAAAAAATTGAAAAGTAAATATAATAAAAGATATAATAAAATATGATGTGAAAATAAAAAACTGAATTATTAAATATAAATACACCAATTGGAATGAAATGCACAGTGTTGATTTGTTATGAAATGAACACTTGTTGCTATCAAATACACAAATTATATTATATACAACGTGTATTGCTATAATACCATTTTAATTTTATTTAAATATTCAAATCGAATTAATAACAAAATTATGTAAACAAAACTCATATTAATCAAATTCAAAATATTTCATTTGATAAACAAGGCGATTGTATTTACAGTAATTTATTAATTTTACTTGGAACATATTGTGATTGTGATTTGTAATGTTACAATTAAGTGAATATTGTTTTACAACAAAGAAAACGGCAACACTGGATGTGACAACTGTTTTGATGGTTTTTTCCAAAGCGGTTCTGTCTAAAATATGAAAAAGGTACTCAAGTTAATATAAGTACTTCATATAAAATTATATATAAGTTGTGTAACATATTTATTTGGGTATTATTTTAACTCAACAAACGATGTATTAATGTTAAGCAACTTGCTGAAAACTGCAAACTGTTTCGACCTATAGTTAGTAGTGGTTTTGATTGGGCTGCATTTTAAGCAATCAATAAAGATTTATTGAAATACGAGGAGAATTATTTGAGTTGTGTTAAACCCGTTTCAAATTATATGAAATGTAATGTCAAGTTTAGCTATAATGAAGATGTCGAATTTTGAACAAGAAAAGATAAAAATCATGTCATTAATATTACACATGACAATTGCAAGACTTGTTCAGAGTATGAACATGCCGAGTGTTATGATGTGTATCATGAAAATAAAAATTTTGAATTTATAAAATGTGGTAAAATGTGTGCTAATTGTACAGATATTATACAATGTGTTTTTATATATCAAACGTTTTAATGTTAAAAAATAAATGTAATCACGAATTGTAAGTAATATCAATTTAAAACCACAGAAGTGCAATGAATGCACTTCAAGTAACAAAGTTAAACAAAATATTGATGAGTGTATTTTCAGGACAACTGAACAATTGATAATATATTGTATCGAATACACAATATTCTCATTTCTTAATAATCTTTGCATCAATATTGTAAAATTATTTTATAACAATTATATTGATTTCTTTACTAACAACAATAGTACGTTAATTCAATGAACTTATTAATTTTTCAACATAATGTAACAAACCAAAAAAATTTTAAAATTTAACATGGGATGCCCGATGTTAAAATACAAAAGGATGTTTGTAGTCATTTTATCATTTTCCTCGAGTTCTCTTGAGTCGATCACACAAACAGGGACAAGTCGTTTTAAGCTATAACCGAAGATGTATGTGACAAATTTTTGAAAAGTCAGCTCCACTCTTCAAAAAGTGTAAAAATGAAAGATACACTCGATCATTTTTTGAACATTCTTTTATTATTATTTTGTGTTGAAATGGGAGTATTAATGTCTATGGGAGTTTATTACAGGTATTATAAAGTGAAGAATTAACAATAAGCAATTTGATCTTAGTGTATTGGTTCTACAAATTTTGCACCATCAACAATACCTTTATTTTTGACACTGTTTTAAAACAATAAATAAAAAGAATATTGATATTGTCATCACCATCATCCAAACTAACGGGTCCATCTTCTGCTCTAAATAACCAAAAACACTGAGAGAAACTAATTTGATTGTAAATTTATGCCTCATAAATTATACTTTAGAACCAAAAAAATTCTTTTTAAAAATTTTCAACCTTTAAAAAACAACAAAATCCAAAAACGTTGATTTGCTCGACCATCTTAAACGCATAGTCAATGCCACATAGAAGAAAAAAGGTGTTGAAAATTTTACTCTTTGTGTTATTTTATCTGAAATATTAGACAAGAAGAACAAATGGTGGAAAGCCAGTTCGACTAATTCACAAATGACTTTCTTCACACCAAGTACCTCAATGGACAACTGGGGTTTCCTGAAATAAAGACAGAAGTGAGGACTTATTAGTCAAAGCATGAGAACGTCATTTGAACTCAGAAGTCCGTCGAGAGGTCTTTGCACCTGTAATGGGATCTGAGGATTGTGTCGATGGGTATCAACGGATCTTAATATTGAACTTAATACGAGAAGTCTTCAAATTAGTGGTGCGACTTTTTCGCCTTCCTTTACTTAAAATAAATCGAAATAGTACATCAAAACATTTAATAATGCCGTTTAGAGTTGTGATTATATTTTTTCAGATATACCATGTTTTAAATTAATCATTAACTAAAGTTTTTAATACTCTTTCAATGTGTCAACAATTCTTGTTATTTGTATTATTTTACTTGGAATATTCCCCAAAATCTTTTTTGATGATATCATATTCTTTGTTTGTAATATCTTCACATCGTAATGAACGACCTCCTGTAGATATAAAGTCTGCTAATTTGTAAGGTTATGTTAATTCTTGGCTTGTAAATATGCTCTCGTTAAAAGCACTCATCTATGATAACAATAAATGAATAATCATCAGAACTTTTCTTGTTTATTTTTTGATTAAACACTTCAGGCGACATCTATTTTGGGATAACAACTCCCTTTGTGAATATTATGTTCTTAATCAACACATTGACAATTTGTGATGACCCAAAATCAGTCAATTTAGCATTCACATCAATTGCTTTTTTAATGAAAACATC